ATTTTAAAATTGATATTACTACTTGGAGAGGAGTGCTGCTTCCTATATTCTTATTTTCTGCTATACATCCTTCCATTGCTATGTATAGCAAGCAAGCAACAGTAACAACAAGTAATGGGAAAAAAATGATCATTTATCTGTTTAGTTACATTCCATTTACCTATAGATGAGATATTTGTTTTTATGAACTATAACTCAGCTACATAATACAAATTCTCTCAAAAAGCACATTGCCCTCAATTTCTCCACAACCCTCCTAATGGACTAGATGATTTTGTTCTGTCTTATCTTTATCCAAAGAAATATAATTCCTAAGAGTTAAATCCATCTGCAGAAATACTTGAAATATCTCTTGATTACGGTAGGTCAAATTTTTCATTTTCCCATCTTATTAGTGCCTATTTGTTTATCTTCACTCCAACATAAAATTCCATGTTTTTAAAAAAATAGTTATTATTCAGATGCAGAACTCTTTTCATCTCTCTGGAGCACAAAGTTTTCAAGTACTGTTACAGATCTTGATCAAGTTGTACAAAGCATAACTTAAGAGTGGATGTTTTCCATGGAGCTTTTGACACTTGGAAGTCAGTGTGTGCACGCACAAAAACACAAGCACGTACACAGCAATATGGACAGTGGCAGTAAACAGGCATAAAAAGAAGTCATTTGCCATGTTGCTTTCTCTCTCAACTGCAAATTCTAAAACAGAATTTGGAAAGTTTTGATTGAGATGCATCCTGTGAGTGCTCCCTAATTGGCCCGTAGCATTTTGGCAGAGGCCTTTCCTCTCAGTACAGTCTCTCAACCAGAAATCACTCTGAATAAGAGGAATTAATGAGCAATTATTCCTTGTCACATTCCACATGGACCATTCTATTCTCTTCAGAAGGAAGTAGGATAAAGCATTCCCCTGTATAGGAAAATATGCTTCATGGAAGAAGAGGGAGGGGAATAATCATTTGCCTTTCTCTGGGCAGGAGAAACCAGAGAGTAATTATTCCCTTTCTCTTAGTGCACAGAGAAAGTCCACTGTATCTGAGCAGAAGCAGGGGACAGTTTTCTAATCATGACAAGATAATTAGCACTGAGTACATTGTGCACAGAACATACAAAAGATGATGTTCAACGTGGTTTATAATCTTTATCACACAGACATCGGAAGTTAGAAAAAGTCCATTGCTTATTAGGAAGCAAATACTGAAATATTAGAGAAGATTGCAGGGAGAGGCAAGGTTCCAGTTAACTTTCTAAGGCGGATTTGATAAAAACAACATTTAGAACACAAAACAGAAGAGACAGATTTACTGATGAATAAAATTTCAACTTAGACCATGGCTGTGCATCAGATGTTACTAGATACTATTAGTCTAGAATACTATTAGTCTAGATACTATTAGTCTAGATACTATTAGTCTAGAAAGAGTACAGAGAAGAGCAACAAAGATGATTAGGGGACTGGAGGCTAAAGCATATAAGGAACGGTTGCTGGAATTGGGTATGTCTAGTTTAACGAAGAGAAGGACGAGGGGAGACATGATAGCAGTGTTCCAATATCTCAGGGGTTACCACAAAGAAGAGGGAGTCAAGCTATTCTCCAAAGCGCCTGAAGGCAGGACAAGAAGCAAAGGATGGAAACTAATCAAGGAGAGAAGCAACCTAGAACTAAGGATAAACTTCCTGACAGTTAGAACAATTAACCAGTGGAACAACCTGCCTCCAGAAGTGGTGAATACTCCAACACTGGAAGTTTTTAAGAAGAGACTGGACATTTGTCCAAAATGGTGTAGGGTTTCCTGCCTGAGCAGGGGGTTGGACTCGATGACCTCCAAGGTCCCTTCCAACTTTATTATTATTATTATTATTATTATTATTATTATTATTATTATTATTATTATTATTATTATTATTATTATTATTATTACTACTACTACTACTACTACTAATACTAATACTATTACTATTATTATTATTATAGATAGACCATGGTCTAAGGATGGGCTGACTAAGGCAACTTATTTTTCTGACTATAGTGGCGTTTGCTCCAACCACATTGGGCAGCCTGGAATAAGGCATGGATTTGTGATGGCAGAAGGAGAAAAAAAGAAAGCCAGCATCATGTCTATGGAGATTCTCAGTCATCCCAATCATGGTTGTCCCAAAGGTGATTTCTCAAAAGGCAACTGGACTTTCTTTGTTTTGCTTGAACATGTTTTTCCTGTCATCCAAGAAGCTTCTTCAGTTCAGTTCAGTTCAACTTCTGTTCAACTGAAGAAGCTTCTTGGATGAGAAGCGAAAAAGCATCTTTTGAAAAAGCCATCATTTAGCTAGCAAACAAATAAGTTCCTTTTTCACTGCAGAGAAATTAAACCTAGATTTTCATAAAAATCATGCCTACACAATATAAATAGGTTGTAGTTTTTCATAATAATACAAGTTGAGAGGAAACCAGTAAAATATTTTCTGTTACCTTTTTTGCAGCCTATCAGTTAAAGAGTACAGAACGAATAAATGACAGCATATCTCAGCTTCCACTGATTGCTGTTTTTTAATTGTAAATTATTCTACCCTAATTTCTAGCAATCTTTTAGTCACAGTGAGAAAAAAAGCCTAACTCTTGAGCCTAACACCAATATGAATCTTCAGGTTAATGCTACTTGTATTCAGACTGAATATTCAAAATGAAGAAGTCTGCATTTCCTTGCTTGAGGACTCTATGCTGTTTACCTTGTTAATGGGAACCGCATTTTGAATGTATATATATTGGATAGCTTCCTATTAAAACAGACATCAGTTACTCTATCTTTGCAGGAAGTCAAGGAATGTCTTTTCATTTAGTGAATGGATTTGAGTTCAACTGACTGGGAAACGGTCCAAAAATGAAGCAGTTGATGGATGCAATACCTCTTCCAGAAAAATACACTGGGAAATGTTTGCTTCACAACAGATTTTAAAATACATATAAGAATCTATTATTTAGACTTTTTAATTTTTAAAAAAAATGAGGATATGATCAGTCAGATATCTCATATCAACTTCTGAAAGATGTCTGTTAAGAACAGAATTGATACCATTGAAGCACTGATTGATTCTAGGCTATTTGGTTGACACTGTTTTGTTGTTTGTTTTGCTCAGAAAACTTGTGACTCAATAGTGTAAGGCTGTTGGCATATACAACAATCATGCAGGCTTTCCATTCTGTTTCAAAACAAATAAAAAGATGCATATAGCCTGTGAAATCAGTAGCCTGCAATCATTCAGGTCAAGATAATTAAAGATGCAATGGTTCTAACCAACTCCTGAGAAACCCAAATGGAGAAGAAAAGAAAGCAGAAGGAGAAAGACCCTGTGACAATTTGTGACTTATGTGCCTACTTTGTGACCTTGAAGCAACTTTCTACAGTTACTCTCCCCAATATAAAATATGGAATTATTCTTAAGGCACTTTTTGCTACTATCAGTTTTCTGACCACCATGCTTAATGTTATCAAGCTACTATTTTCTGCTTTCTTATCTCAGAGGCAGTAAATTACAAATAAAGGGGCAATGGAAAATGATGCAATATTTCTCAAAACTTTTTTTAAAAGTAGATGCAGGGGAATTAAGGATTTTGAACTCCGACTGCACCAAGTTGAAGGAGATGTAATTTAATCTGCTTTTTTTTTTAAAAAAAAAACACCACCAAATCTTGAAATCTATTAAAGCTACTTAGCACAGTGTAGGGCCATAGGGAAAAGCACTTCTATGGCACTCCAGATGTTTCAGGCTACAAGACCTATTAGCACGATTATCACAAAACTTCATATCTTCAGGACATCTTTTGCGTTAAAGAAACTGTTGAGACATCCTAAGGATTAATGACTTCCTTATTCCATAAAGTCAATGGATCACAGTTGATATTTTATGCTATTTTAAAGGTCTTGCCTTTAAAGTGCCCTAAGTCTCTTTGTTGGAAGAAATGAATATGGCTACCTTATGAAAATGATATTCTGCATATTTTTATTTCTATAATCAGGCTAGCAACAGAAGAAAAACAATAGAAAACTCTTATTCTCTTCTTTCTCATTTTTACAGCTGCTTCTAAGTTTTTGTGGGGAGATCTGGCCACAGGTCTCTGGAGTTACATCTGTTCTATTGCTAAAATTCTGGTTAGGAACTAGTATTACTGGAAGAGATTGAAAAAGTTTCATCTCACTCCATTTAATAATTCCTCATGGGAAGGGAGGAATGTCCTACTCCTTGGAGAACAAGGCTTACTGGTCTTTAATTTGAAATTTACTACTTCCACACTCATCCATGATGGGAATAGCATCAGGTTATTTTAACACCACCCCTGGTCCCCTAGTTTAAATACTACATTGGAAAATCCTGTCTGTGATCTTCCCAGAGCTAACCTGCTATCCACATTGTGGTTTCATTTGAAACACTGCAATGTTTGCGCTTTCTTTTAAATCCTGGTGCATTTAATGTACAAACAGGGAAACGCTGAAAACAACTCTTTGGTGGTCATATTAGTAATACAATCGTCATTGTCAATTGCTGCTGAAACAATGTGCTCACTGAGTACTAGAAACTTGAAACATTGAATCTTCAATCCTCCATTCATGCTACCTTTATTATTAGTGTCCAAGAAGTATTTCAGAACTAGACTCTCTCTAGAAACAACTTATCTCCAAATGGTAGCAAGGTACAAAATCTTAAAATCACCATATAGGTTACGGTTACCTTCTTGAGGAATTTATACATATCCGAGGTAATTGATAGTTCAGCTGCAAGAAGAAGAGGAAGGAAGAACGTCATTACTTTGAGGGGACCCTGGATGAGGTACCCCTATCTTCCTGCTCTAACCTTCCCTTCTTGCTTGCCACCTCTCCGCGATTAACCATCCAGGCTGCGATTACTGCCCGTCCCCAAAGCGCGGAGCCCTGGATCCGCTCCTCGGGGGGACCCGTCTGGAAAGAAGCAAGAGGAGGGAAGCCGAGGGCGACGCGGATGCACCTTACCTCGCCTTGTCGGTGATAATGCTTGAGGCCTTTCCCCCCCTGGCCGAAGAGTTTGCCTTTCTTGCCGCTCCCCAGAGAGAGTCCCTGGTGGAAAGCGGCCGACCTGTTGGCCGCCTGGGTCGGCGTCTCGCCCATGAGGGTGGCCTTGATCGCGTTCGCCTTGGTGCCGTCGAGCTGGGAACCCTCCACCACCAAGAGCGCGGCTAGGAAGAGGAGAGGGCGGGAGGAGAACTTAGTCCAGCTCTGCATGGTCGGCTCTACCCTCTTCCTAGGCGTCTTCCTTCCCGGGGGCTGGGCTGGGCTGGACGGCGCAGCTTCTGCAAAAGCCCGGCGTCGGCGAAGGAGGCGAGCCCTCCGGCCGTCGGAGCAGCGCAAGCAAAGGGTAGGTGCTCCCAGTCAAGGTCTCCGGGGCGGCATGGTGGGCGCCCCCCTTCCTCCTCCTCCTCCTCCTCCTCCTTCTCAGCAGGAGAGCCAGTCGCGGAGGAAGGGAAGGAGACGGAAGGAGACCTGATCCCGGGCGGGAGGCGGTGGCTGAACCCGGAGAAGGAGCCTCCCACCCGCGAAGCTTGGCCGGGACGTCTAGGGCAGGAAACAGTCCTGGATCGCTTCCCGCGTCCACGCCGCCTTTTGCCGTGGGACAAACTCAACCCAGATCTGCTCTGAGCGGAGCCTGGCCCGGGGGAGCGACGGCTGACAGCTTGCTTTGCTCGCTCGGTGGTTTCGCTGTCTAGGAATCCAGGCAGCCTTCCACCTTCCGTTGGCTGATCCGGGGCATCCCGACCGCAGGCAGATGAAAGGCTTGGACGGGAGATCGGGCGCTCAGCTCGTTGGGCGTTGAGTCCGCCCTCCCGTCCCCAACAGCCGCCTCCTCTGCTCGCCTTCTGCCCCCCTTCGCCTTTATAGCTTCACCGGCCGAGTTCTCTTTTCCTCCGCCCCCGGAGCCGCGGAGTGACAGGGGAGGGGAGCTGACTCATTCCCGAGCCCACTCCTCACCACCCTCCGTCCCACTCGGCACCTTCGTTCCCTCCTCCTTGCTCCCCGATCTCTTGAAGGTTCTTTGGAAGGTTGCGTCTTTGCGCAGGGAGCGCCTTCCCTTCAAAGTTAAGGTCTTCTGGTGACGCCTGACGGATGGCGGCTGAGGATGAATAATTGAGAGGGTCGAAGGCTTGGGAATCCCACTCTTTGTCTAATTAATTCAGGATGGTTAGACTTGGTCATCCCAGAAAATTGTCTCAACCTGGGCTGTGCCCAACAAAAAGGGTGGAAAGTTTTGCACATGTACTGTAGATCAGGAAGAGAAATAGGGGGAAGCAGGCTCTCTCCCTTTGTTACTCACACATATGAACACAGATTTGTTGCTCAGATTTCACTGGAACTTAAAAGCATTTGCTATCAGATGAAATCCCATTGAAATTTATCAAAAGTGTTTGTTTCCATTTAAACTAATTTTGGAAAATGTCAAAGTACTGGTGGAATCCATTCCAAAGTGTTTGTCCATTGTAGGCAACCAAACAGACAGGGCGCTAATCTGACCTGATCTAGGTGTAGCTCCTGGTGACTGCCGGGAATAATCCCTGAAGTTTTCTTGGCAAAGTTTTTCAAAAGAGTTTGATAGACAGATAGACGGACAGAGTAACTGGCCCAAGGTCACCAGTTAGCTTCATGCCTAAGATGGTACTGGAACTGAGAATAGAATAGAATAGAATAGAATAGAATAGAATAGAATAGAATAGAATAGAATCTGGAAGGGACCTTGGAGGTCTTCTAGTCCAGCCCCCTGCTCAATCAGGAGAACCTATACCATTTCAGATGACTGTCTAGTCCAGAGGTCCCCAACCTTTTGGGCACCAGGGACCGGTTCCATGGAGAGAGGTTTTTCCGTGGACCAGAGGGGGCGTGGTTTCATGTACTGTCTGCATCCCACAAATGGGGTTTTGCTTGTTTGCGTGGACCAGGTCCTGGCTTGCCACAGACCAGTGCTGGTCCATGGACCAGGATTTGGGGACCCCTTCTTAAAAACCTTCAGTGATGGAGTGCCCACGATTTCTGAAGGCCAGCTGTTGCACTGGTTAATTGTCCTCATTGTTAGGAAGCTTCTCCTTATTTCCAGGTTGCTTCTCACTTTGATTAGTTTCCAACCCTTGTTTTAAATTTTTAAACATATATATTTAAAAAAGGACAAAGAAAGAACATTTGCAGCAGTGGTTCCAGTGGTGACCATAGGATATGTTGGCTACCTTTACAACTAATTATATAAGATAGAGCAATTCAGTTCTGTACCCATTTTGATTAAGAAGACTATTTGCTATTAGCCAAGTGTACTATTGTCTAGAAAACTTTTCAAATGCCACCTACCTCTTGTTCTGTATTGGAATATATTGTGAAACAGGAGGAGACAGAAAAAGAACTTGGCTGACTAGAAGGTGATTTGCAGCAGATAAGCTGTAGATTCTCAAAACTGAACAAGAGTAGAAATAGGAAGAGAAGAAAGAGCTGTCTAATTGAATTGCTGAAATAAAGCAAGCAGGAAGAACCTTTGAGTGCAGCTTTTTTTTTTAAGAATTGTGACTTCCTTGAGTTCAGTTTGCAGTTCAGAATAGATTTTTGGGTTCCTAACACTTTAATTTGTAGTGATGTTTGATTTGGTTTGCATTAGGTTTTGGTGTGTGGAACCTGAATATTTAGGAAATGAATAACGGAAAATGAATTAAGAAATTTTGTATACCTAAAATCTGTCCATTCCAAGGATTCTGTTAAATGTAACTGCAAATACTTGAACAGAGGCCATGCTTTCCTTTAAAGTCACATATTAGAAGATCACAATTCTCCTTTAAATAATTTTTATTAGTTTTGAAGAAGAAGCAGGGGCTTAACTGTGCTTTTGTACAACTTCTTTTCAAATTCACCTAGAAGAATCTACCCTTGGTGCCCTTCAGTTGTTCCTTCTGATATGCATGTACTTAAAGATGTTCCTTTACTTTGGATTACATAAACCAGGTTACATACTAAATTAGGTCCATCAAACAAAAAACGAAAGGCTGTTATTAAATATTTCTCCTTCACTGTGTTTGCTAATTTTTCTTTTTCCTGTATTTTGAAGTGTTTTTTTTTTAAAAAGAGCCAAGTTTGTCCTTTTCAGCAAAAAACCTGAATCTTATATTTAACACTTTGTTATTACACATTTAGTGATTTAGTTATAACTAAGCTGGTCTTTAACATAGTGGAGGTCATGTCTTTACAATAATTTTATATTTATGGAATTGAAGAGGAAGTAGATGAAAGCGTTATACATGATATATGTGGTATAGCAACCCCTCTCTAGGTTAAGTAAATAATTAGTAAATACATACTCTTGCCATCCTATCCTGGGCTGATCAAAATGAGCATAAGTACTGGTGCCTCTGGACAGATGTTCTTTCTTTAGAACCTATTTCATTCACACTTAGATATAAGGGTCCATAACTCTTAGCACCTTTACCTAGCAAAGTCATGGGCATGACGGTAGCCAAATATACTACAAGTTTTTAAGGCATAGATTACATCTAGGAGGTTAGAACATTTATCCATGCATATGCACTTGTACGGTGTATGCATCAAATAATTTTATGCTTGAGATGCTACATAGAATCATAGGGTTGGACTGGACCTTAGAGGTCTTCACGTCCAACCCTTATTGCACCCCAGATAAATAGTCCAATCTTTTGTTGAAGGTAAGCTATTCCATTGATTAATTGTTCTTACTGTTCTCCTTAGTTCCTGATTGGATCTCTCTTTAGTGAGCTCCACCCATTGCTTCTTGTTCTGCTCTCCGGTGCTTTGAAGAATAAATCAACTTCCTCCTGCTTATGACTACCCTCAAAGCCAGCTATCATATTACCCCTAATCCTTTTCTTTATTAAGCTACACCTACCTAGTTCCTCATACATTCCTCATACTTCATCCTTCATTTTGGACTCTCCCACTCAGCTGAGTAGGATTCAGCTGAGTTGGATTCTGCTCTAGGAATCTAGCAATATAATGTCTTAACTTCAAAGCTAGGTAGAGTAATTCATTGGGAACATACCGTAACTTTAAATCAAGATAAATCACTAGCTCTTTTCTTCCCTCATTGTGAATATTAGATTTAGCAGCATTTCAGGGCTTCTGGCAGAAGATTTGCAACCCTACCAATTGACGTGAAGAACTGATCTTTTATTGTATCTCATTGCATAAAAGTATTGATCACACTTCAATTTGGTTCTTATTGTGTTTTTAACAAAAAATATCATCTAATGTTTTTTCAAGCTTAGGACTCTCTAGAATCTACTGGTTTTTTTTAATAGAAAAAAATCAAATTTGCATGTCTACCAATTATCCCATTGAAGATTATATAGCCCTAACCTGAAAATCGTGTAAGCATTTTTCCTTTTCTTCCCTTTTAATTATTTACCATCTTTTTTTCCTTTTCTTCCCTTTTAGTTGTTTACCATCTTCTCTGATGTAGGGTAAAAAGCTTGCAGACTCTTTGGTGAACTCGAGTTGAAGTAATAAAAGTATTAGCCAACACAGATGTAGAATTTTTAATATATTTAAAATATGGTTGAAGTTTAGAAGTTAAATGAATCATGAGTCATGTTTCTTGTTCACCTTACATGGATGGCTCCTGTGCTATAAAATGATTATCATGCAGATCTGGGATGTTGACAAGTCACTCAATAAAATCTTTCCTTTCTTTAAATTGAGGAAATATATCTTCAAAGATAAATAGTAGATGGTTGAGAAACAGGATAAGAGAAGTCAGAAAGAACAAAATATATTTCTCTTATCCAAAATAGTATTTCACATATGGTATTCATTGACTTCTCTTCTGCTATTGTTTCTATTAGACAACCATCTTAAAACTGACCAGAGTGATTTAAAAGTATGCTTTGTAATTATTTTGTTCAGAGATTGACAAATCAATTCAAAAGCCTCAGAGTCAAAAGTCTGAAAACATGAAAAAGGATTTGTAATAAATAAACAAATTTAATGATTTTAGATAGCTGTGAAGCTTAAGTCATACAAAATATGAGTGACAGTTTTAAGAATAACCCACAGGTATAATCTGGATAAAGTTTTTGAAATCTGATACAAATTGAATTGTTTTATCATGTTTAACTCCTGAAAGGTCTTTAAGGTTGCTTGTATTTCAAGACAATTAACCAATGATTTTGAAACAAGAAGGTGAAGATGAAGATGGCAGTAGAATTCACACAAAGGAACAGATATGTATACCCATATCAAGAAGCAATTTTTTTT